ATGCTCACCTTCTTCAAGGGTCTCTATTATAACCTTCTGTCAAATATGTTTCTCCGTCTATTCATTGCTTTTGTTGTTACGAAGCTCAGCATTTTAAAAAGTGTATATGCTTATTTGATAATGTTGTATCTCGGATTCGTTATATGCACAAAAATTGCATTTTCTTGACCTTCAATCTCCTTCAAAAAAGATAAAGATCTTTTTCATGGACTAGCTTTATATATATATATTCTTCACACCATAGTAAGGGAGTTTTCAGGCATAAATATACATATATTGGAGCTTCACTCCGTAAAGGCATATGGTGTCACACTCCAATATAACTTCCAGTCTCTTTTTATTAAGTTTTTATGGAATTATTCCGTGTTGTTTAAGTATATCTTTTAAGTCTGATAGTTCTGGCGCAGTAGGATTATTGGCATCATGCAGTACGGGCTTCAGTGCAGCTTCATAAGCTCTTAAAACCATCGGTAACAGTATGCACGATACGGGCCCGTAAAATATTTTTTTACTCTCATGTTTATTTTCCACCTCCATGATTCTTCCTCTGAAAGACCCACTGAAGCTTTGAGACGCCTCAATATCGCTTCTGTTTCTGGGTAGACATGCTCCTACATATGATTGTAAAATGGGTTTTAGAGTCGACGTGGTGTGTTGCACAACTAAACGAAGTTTTCTTTGTAAAGAAGCATGTGCATCGGTTTGAGATACCCCGTCTGATAGCCTCAAAGGTTCACAATTTTGGTTGGCTTCTTGCTTTGCAAATGTGATTTCTGATGGAGCTCTGTCTATGCTGATGTTCTTCGGCAATCCAACCTCCTTGGTGACGAATAGAGTAGCGCCATACCAAGAATTGCTACTGACCTGCAAATAACAATGAAGTAGAAAACGATAAATGCAAAAACAAAGGATGGTCCCTACGGTTGCTTTCGTGGCGCTCTGCACTGCTAAAACAGCAGACTTGAAGTATAATGGATTGACATTACAACCGCCTGACTTTGCAATGGAAGTGCTGTGGTGTTCCAGACTTGGTATTTGAAAGAGAATACTCAGGACATTTTGGAACTGCTTCACATATTCAGGTGTAGTGAGAGTCAAAAGTTGGCGGCGCTCTTGCCTTTGCAAAGTGAATTCTGTGAGTTTGGTTTCTCGCAAATTCCCGCAAGTTCTATCAGATCGTTTTGAAGAAACAAGTGAAAGCGACAAATATCTCTTATCGTGTTCCACGGTGTTGAGTGGAACCAATGTAGAGTTTCCCGCATCGCTAGTTGTGCAGGTAGTCCAGAGCGTTTCCAGTGGCAACAACAGAGTATCAATTATCTTTTGTAGAGATGCAGAGAGGCCGGTAGCTTCTAAAGGGATGCTTAGTTTTGCCACAAGCTGGAGCATGGCTTGCATATCAATTTCACATTCCCTTTTATTGCGGAAAAGATCCTTGGTGTTCTCTTCAACAGTTATGCTCTCTTTTCTATTAAGAGAATCTTCTTCGACGTCGAGAGACTGCATCCTGGATTTCGGAGCCGAATCCTGTCGAACGGTAAAAGTCGATGAATTCGCTTTAGTTTCTTTTGCTAATTCAAGCCTCAGAACACGCCGCGTTCCTGTACTGACATGGTTGAAATTGATTCTTCTAGAATCCATTGGTAATCCTGAAAGGTGAGTCTCTGGATCAGTCCTATAATCATCTTTTGGCGCGGTCGATGGTTTGCTTTTGTCGTCGCATCCAACTAAGCGCATGCCTTTCACTGAGTCCTCTTCATTACTGCTTTTCCGTTCCCACGTCCTGCACGGCGACACCCCGGCAAGGGCACTGTACGCAAAACAATCGAAAATTTGCTGCATACGACGCCCCATTTCCTCTACCCGCTCGTGTTGAATTCGCTCTGATGATGTTAAACGTGTCCTTTGTTCCCCTTCCTCTATGCGGTCGCCGTGTAATCCGCTCAGGTGCTCGCTGTCGTGTGGCCTTCGCTGCGCACTATCCGCAGTTTTCTTTCCCTCAGGCAAGTCAATTGGATTGTCCGAGGGATTGCTTTTATGAACCTGAAAAGCCCCTTCAGGGGTCTGGGCTGTCGTGCGCCCATTATTGCAGTGGTGGAAATAAAGAAGCTGCCAAATACACTCCAGCTGAAACATCTCAACTCGGGGGTGGCGAAGGGCGACCGCTACCACGGTGGCCATCGAACTCGATACGCAGCTGCAGCGCGGCGGGTAGTCCAAGGAAAGATCACCCAGCAAAGGATTAGGCGGAGGACAAGCTTCATCAGAAACCAGATCGGGGGCGTCTTTCCTACCCTCGGCAGACGTCTTTTCTTCCCGATTATTTCTCATCCCTGAGCTTATCTCGGAGGTACGCATAAAAGGTAAATTGTGCGTGTACAAGGCAACATCTTCTGCGCGCAGAAGAAAAATAGGAGATGGAAAAATTACTTGGTATGCAAGCGCATTATCGTTTGATCCACTACTTCCACCAAGGGGTCCATTAGGATGGTTTGAAATAACAACACTATCTGTGGTTTTCGCTTGTGCATCGGAAGGCGTATTAGCGGTGTCGGCTACGATGTGTTGTGGTGAAAATTCTCCAGACGATGCCTTGGAGTGGCACGAAGAGTACTCCTTTAAGTAATTACGCAATCCCAAAAACTTTGCGCACTGTGAAGTTTTACCCAGCTTGCAAGGGCAGCCTCGAAGAGAGACCTCAAGGGGGTCCAAACACATCCGCACGAACTGCGCCGGGATGCCCCCTCCAACCGCCAGCGTCACGACCAGCGCCGTCCATGCGGCATTGCATCGACGTAAAAGATCCCCATAGAGAGGATCCCCTCCAGCGGACTTTGTGGAGTCTTCATATGATCCACACACCACCTCTTCGTCAAGCTGCATCATCGTCAGCGCACCCTCAAGTGGCGTGGAGTCGTCGCCAGGTGCGCCATAAAGCTCATTCCCCCTGTATTCCGTAAAGGCCACCCTGGAAAGGGAATCCCCTTCCTTCAAAAAAGAGGCCCCCGTCGGTTGTGGAGAACTATGGGAAAGTGTTTCATTTGTCCTAGAATCGCCGCCAGAATTGCACGGACTGAGGGTAACACTGGCCTGCTGAAGATGCTCTGCCAGCAGCACGGCGGCCACCCCAAGAGCGGCCTCGTACGACGCCCTGCTCTGAAGTTGGACATACGCGTCCGGCGTAAAGCTCCTTGCGGTGTGCGAATCCTCATCATGGAAAGATCCCAACGCCTTGGATGAGGTGACGGCCGTGAATCCTTCTGGTGGTGGAGTCGGAGGAGGAGGAGACGCGCCACCGCAGAGGTGCCGCGTAAAGTCCGTGTGAAGGCGTCTTTCGTAGTGCGCGGGAAACGCCGCAGAGGAGCATACCCATGACAACCCCCCGTCGGGTGGTGGACGGCAGATTAACTTGGACGTAGCCTCCATAGAAGGGGAAAAAGAAGAACCCCGCGCTGCCGCGTGATCCTCTTCATGACTCCACAAAGGGATTAACCAAGCATACGCACGAGACGAGAGCAACGCAAAAGGGTTGAACGGGTCAGGATGTCCCATACCACAATCGGCCGCCTCCCTGATGGCGTCTTCGTTAGTAAGAGGCGACTCGATGATTGGATTGCGCAAAAGAGAATTCACGAAGAGATGGCGTTTGGTTGGGTTTCGCAGTAGGGCGTAGATGGAGAGCTGTGGAGGTAGCTCCTGCAGAGCGTCTGCCGGGTCTAGTGAACTAAAAAGAGACTCCGAAAAGTCATTGATGGAAAGAAATGAACCGGTCGCTTTGGATACTCCATGATCAAAATTACCATCCGATGGACACGAAGGCTGGTTAGTGGAAAGCTGAGGTAAAGGTGGAAAGGTCACAGGGAGAGATTTCCAGCACAAGCTTTCTAATTCCGTCAGAACGGACGATAGCCAGGCGTCTCCCGCCACTATGAGGGATGCATCCCTGGTGCTCTCCGCCTCAATACCGTGAATTCCTTTTAAATTGGCGACATGTGCCCATTTCTTCAACAAAAACACTTCCTGCAGTTGTACGATCTCCAACGTCATGGCAACGCAATTCGCGCCCTCCGGTAGCCCGGCAACCACCGACCACAGCCAATCCCGCAAGGCAGGATGTTGCCGCGCTCCAGCCGCGAGAAGTTGAAGCACCATCACCGTTTTAAAAGTCTCTCCTTTTGAAAAGGGGGTGAGATACCCACTACTAACCTTTGAGCTCGCTATCGGACCTCGTGAGAGGCTAGCCGGCCGCTCGAGATCCCTTAGCGCTCGAGTGTAGCGCTCACACAAGTACCCCAACACGCTGTCTAAACAAGAAGCCGTAGATTCCACAGACACCTCGGCGCGATGACGTTTTTCAACCATACCTGGTGGTACCGCCTCTCCCCTAGCTTTTTCCGCCCTACTGAGATTGGCTCTCTGAGCGTGGTCGCTCAGTTGAGAAAACGCGTAAATAATATCCATTAAGTGTTGATAATTACTACGCTCATACACGCTATTCTTTGAAAATTGTAAATATATTGCTTTCACTTATTGGCATATGAAAGAAGGGAAAATTCCAAACCTCTGGTATTATTCGTTTTGTAAAAAGGAACATTTTTTAAAAGCTTAATTCATCCAAGAAAGGAATACCATTCCAGAAATAGAGTTCTATTTATTGTAAAAGGATAAAAAGTACTTGTCTCACTATTACGAATGTGACGATCACAAATAAATTAAATGCTTTTAGCTAACAATGATAATAATACTCTAGAATATTGTTTCGATATCCTCTTAATATTTCTATTGAGAAATTCCGATTCTTTATAGATAATATATTACAGAATATAGAATTATTGATAACAGCATTTTTATATTTCAAATATACTACTATTAATAATAAACTGTATCAGGGTAAGTAAAGGATTTGGAATAATATATTGATAATGATATATAATAAGATTTATATACCTATTATTTTTCATGGATTTAATATCATAATTTGTTACGCCTAAGCATTTCTTAAGCATTGAGAGAGATAATTCTGTAACATAATAAAAACGGTTTGTAAATTTAAAAAACTAATAAAAAATTTTCATCCAATTTCTGCCCCTTCTTATGTTTGGTTTCCAGACAATGGATTCCCATAATGTGGACCTTCGGCTACCTTTAAACAATAACAACTAAAATGTAGTGATGTATGGAGCAGGATCCTACGCACCACAAGAGTAACATACAAACTTAAAAAAAAAAGTAGTTCAGAAAAAAAGAGTATAACCCTACAACGACTTGAGATACTCCGGGATAAGATTTACTCCAAACCCCGTGGCGCCGCTGTTGTTGAAGGAGGGGAATGCTAAATCAACGTGTGCGAAGATACCGGTAAATTTTTCACTGAGATGGCTTTCAACAAAATACCCTCCGCATGACACCCCACCATCGGTGCCTGTCGGCATCAGATTTGTCATATCCGCGAATTTGCTCTTGAATTGAGGTTTGTGATGTTCAGGGCTGTAGACGACCGGGAAACACGTATCCCCGCATTGGCGACCCGCTTTTAAAAGAGCCTGCTCGAAATCAGCATCGTTGACGTAAAGAGCCGCGTGCTTTGTTCCCGTCGCGACGCCCTGAGCGCCGGTAAGGGTTGCCATATTGATCAAAATATCCGGTACGAAGCTCTGCTCGCTGCTCGCGTGGTACACTCCATCCCCCAACACAATACGCCCCTCCGCGTCCGTGTTGATCACCTCCACAGACTTACCAGATTTCATAAAAACGATATCGCCGTTTCGGTAGCTCTGCGCGCTAATTGCGTTCTCCGCGAGACAAAGGGTTACGCTAATATGACGTATGTGCTTGTAACGATCTGGCTTCAGTTTCATTCCCCCCACAACGGCAAGAAACCCACAGAAGACGGCCGCCGCGCCCGCCATATCAGTCTTCATGTTCACCATCCCCGTGGCGGGTTTAATGGCGAGCCCACCGCAGTCATAGACGATGCCTTTACCCACCAGGGCGACATTCTTCGCGGTGGCATCCGCGGCGTCGTTAGTATATTTCAGCGTCAGAAGGTGCGGCGGGCCGTGCGCGCCGCGGCCGACGGCGTAGATCCCGCCATAGCCCTGCTCGCGAAGGTCGTCCCCCTTAATGAGGTGGACGTCCGCGCCGAGTTTCG